ACATAATTCTGCGTAAAAATATACTTATCTAAAGCAACACAATTTAATTTTACTAAACGACATTCAGTCGGAGATCAGAGGAGCACACCAAACTGCTTCCAGGGTTTGATAGTAGCAAAAAGCAGATTAAGCCTGTGCGCCATTTATAGATTCTTTCTTTTTCTTCACTAATGTCATACGTTTACAATTAATTTACCAAACCATTGTAAATATTTTACTACCAAACTGGAATTACATGAATTTTATTTCAATTTTTCGTAGAGTAAATATAGTTTCATTAAAGTTTGTAGCATCGCCATGCAACCTTGGAGGGTAATATATGTGAATCTTGAGCTTAGGTCACTTGATGTTTGATGTTTTTATTAACACTTTCTAAATAGCGTATACACAAACTGTAATAAAAATACTCGGTTTTGTCTGTCCTCAAAATGTGCGCGCACTTTACTATCTAAATGCGCATGGAAGCGCACTTCGTTTCAACGGATGTAAACAAAAGGTGGCTGTAAATATAGTTTATTATACATTTATTACAACAACATGTTAAAAGTTTATAGTCGTTGGCGCAATTAGAATTAAAGGTTCGGGGCAGGGTCGGATTTAGACCCTTTGAGGCTTCCTTTAAATACTTCGATGCTGGAGGCCCCCTTCCAAGGTTGATTCAAAAATGAGGCCCCCATTCTTTGGGGCTCAAGGCCTCATGCAATTGCATGGGTTGCACCCCCCTCTAAATCCTGCACTAGTTCGGGGTTAGTGGCAAATTAGGAAATGGCTCCAAAGAAATATATAGAAGTGTTGGCCATTTTATTAAAGAAATACATAGAAGTGTTGGCTATTTTATTAAAGAAATACATAGAAGTGTTGGCCACTTTATTAAAGAAATATAAAAAGTGGCCCCCCAGTGGCACAGCGGTATGTCTGCGGACTTACAACTCGAGAATGCGGGTTTCGATACCCGTGGTGGACAGAGCACAGATATCCCATTGTGTAGCTTTGTGTTTAATTACAAACAAACAAATAGAGAAGTGTTGGCCATTTTATTAAAGAAATACATAGAAGTGTTGGCCATTTTATAAAAAAAATGCTTGCTGTCGAAGCGCATGGTTATTGAGAAATCATCACCCTTATTTTAATAATTTTAATTGTTTTTAACAAATCTCAGGAATCATCTTTCAGGAGGTGGGGAACTTATCATCCTTTGCCCCTCTTGATTATGTTAATGTTCATAAAACATTTATAACTTAATCAACTTTCTAATTTTTATTTAATTGTGATACACATAAAGACCCACAAATACAAATAATATTGATGTTTCTTTATTCTTGAAGAATAAGAAAGTCCCAGATTCTATATATGTTTTAGTCTAAAAGTCTGTTGGTTGTTAAGCGAAAAGCTTCACAATGTTTCTAAAACAAACAAAACAATCCGCAGACTTTCACAGATTTTATAGTTATGTTCATATTTTGTTAACTAGAAGCAAGTTAAATCTACCCACAAAGACAAAAAGTTAATTAATTCGCGAGTTTTATATTTGTTTTATATCACAAAGTTTTAACCATTACTTTTTTTTAGTATTATATATTTAAAAGAAAACAAGAGCCTGGCCTGTCGTTGCTAAAGGTGATTAAATATATATTTCATAAATGCTGGTGTTGTACCTGGTACCACTAACCTACTTCCTTATAGTTTAGTAAATACAAGCATGTACTTTACTGTTTATTTTTATAAACTTGGCATAGTCTAAATCTACTGTTAAGGTGAAAATCTGGAGGACTCTAACATTCGTTGTCTCACGTGTTACATGACTTAAGAGTTACGTGTGGTAAGCATCTTTTCTTATAAGTCGCTCCTCTTCTAATGTGTGACTGTTGCCATATAAAATGTCTATTTCTTTTCCACACCATATATGGTACTGAATTGTGCTGGTTTTCGTTGTTATACAGATTGAATGCAGGAGCAGAATAGCAAGTTTGTTTGTAAAATTGACTCCTCGTCTGTGTGATTACCATTAGTCAAACAGTGTATTTATAGTTTTCTGTGCTGCTCATATTGAGACTCTATTTCACTCTGCCTACTATTTATGATTCTGTTATTTAATCATTTTACTTCAAATTCTTCAGTATCTCTTTCGTTTCTGTGTGACAGATCACAATCAGTGTGTGTTGGGTTCCAGTTTCCAGTTGCCTACATCACTTTATAGTAGATCACGAATGTAAAGTAACTTAATGTCCCTTTTCTTCCCCCCCTCTTCAAAACTTCTCTGACATTGGTTACGTTCCAGAGAAACCTCGTGTTACTTGTATTCCAAAGAGTTGTTTGTTTAACTTATTCTAATTACGCACTCACGTTAATGTACAAGTTTTTGAGACCACAAATTTAAAGTTTATCATAACATACTTTTTTATGTGCACAGCAAAATTTACACTGGATTAAAAATCTTCAAATTGTAAATTGAAATACATTCACTTCATTGTTTATATAGATATATGTGTTATTAAACTGTACTAAGCGTTTTCTAATCCCCTAGTTAATATTATTTAAATTATTGTATTTTTCATCGTTCTCGGTTTCCACGCAGTGAGGCGTTTAAGTAAGTTCTCAACCTTCCCTTTCGCTAAAGGGCGCTTTAAGCATAGTTCCTGATAAACTATTACTGGTGTTCTCTTGGGAAAATAATTAGTAATGTAGTTAGAGAAACACTGTTTTCCTTGAGGACAAATCCTACAATAGTTAGAAGGGCCACGCCCTTTGCTACAGACACGCAAATCGCTCGCTGACAAAGGGGCCGAGAGCAAACTTGACTTTGTGCACATTATTTTTATAAATAAAGTCAGGTTTGCCCCGGGAACTTCCGATTTTTGAAGACTTCCCGTTTTTAGATTATAGCAAACCTCTAATTTTAAACGTTAGACTTGGAGTAGAATATAATGTTGGTATTTTTTTGGCAGATCTTTTATTTAGAATAATAGACTCTACGTAGAGACATTTTATAGATTTTCGCTGAGTTTATTTAGTTTTACCCTAACTTTTGTTTTCTTGTTGATGTTCACTTTTAGTGGACTGATTTAACGACCTTGATATCCGAATAGTCCCCTAATGGAACAGTTTACTGACCTACAACGCTAAAATCCGAGACACAGTAGATAGCTCAATATGGCTTTGCTCTAAAACAAACACTACTGACTTTCAAATAAGGCAGGGTTTATTTAAACTCGTTGTTTGCATTAGTCTTATTTTCAGCGTAACTTTTAGTAAAATCCGGGTTCTACTTTCACTATGGGTTTTAGCATATTTTGAATTTAAGGGACTCAAAGCCTTATTGGGTTTGGCTTGGTTTGGATTTCGCGCACAGCTACACGAGGGCTATCTGCGCTAGCCGTCCCTAATTTAGCAGTAAAATACTAGAGGGAAGGCAGCTAGTCATCATTCCCCACCGCCAACTCTTGGACTACTCTTTTACCAATGCTGGATTGACCGTAACATTATAACGCCCCCCACGGCTGAAAGGGCGAACATGTTTGGTGGGGATTCGAACCCACGATCCTGAGATTGCGAGACAAGCGCTCTAAACACCTGGCCAACTTCTTGGCATAACTTATAGGGTAAGCAATTGGATTATCTATGTTAATTAATTTTCACTTAACCTGTCAGGGTTATTTTTTTATTTGGATTTTAGCTTATTTTCCATACCTTTCAAAGGGGGGGGGTCACAATGAACTGGTAAGAACTTCTTAATAAAATATCTGACTAATTTCTCATCAGTTCGACATATATCCACAGGAAACGCTTGTCCTGTTATTTTGTTAACTATTGGTTTTTGCATTGTATTGTGACAATAAATGTTCTTGTAATTTGTGCTCTTGTTTCCTGTCTCTCGCTTCCCTTGCACGGCGAACTCGGGTCGAGTTCAGGAGAAACACGCTCCGCAGCTCGGTGACCATGAGCCTGCAGTTATCGGTCCCGAACTGACCACTCTCGGCTAATTCCGTGACCCGAAAAATGGCACATGGTTTAAATACACTTAACTGAACTCTAAAACCATTCTTGGGTCAGAAGTGTTAGCCCATTTAGAAAATCCCAAGTTTAAAATCTTCTGTTTCACTGGTGTTGAAATGACTGACATAATTTCCCTTCACATGTAAGATTATTACACACACATATATATACATGATTATATTTGTAGACTTTAATAAACCAAGCTAAAATAGTAGGATTCTGCTTTTTTGGTTCGATTTGTTTGTTTTTAGCGTAAAGCACAAAATGGATTATCTGCGTGCTATCCACCACGGGTAATCGAATCTTGGATTTGAGCATCGGAAGTCTGTAAACTTACCGCTGACCCATTGAGAGACAGGATTCCGAACAGAAGCATCTTGAGGTAATAATTTAGTATATTTTAAATTAAAAACAACAATGGTAAATGTGTGGAAAAGGCAAAATTAACTTTTCAAACAAATAAGTACTTTATACCACTACCTTTAAATAACTCTCTCTCTCTCTCTTTTTTAACTAAATGCTGAATATTTTTATTGTAACAAGAAATTTATTTATTTGTAAGCTCTAGACAAACATTGATAACTAACGCGAGCAACGTACCACTAATGTTTTCTGAAATATTAGATCACATATCCAGAAATATTATCACTCCCAACTGTGAAAAATTTTTTAAGTGTGGAAGAACTATTGGCACAAGTAATGTAACTTATTGGCTTGACCTTGGCCTCATTTAGGAGTAAAACCTCAAGCAAAAACAACACTGCTCACTACACGTGACTTACTGCGCCGTACTTCGGTGATTTCTTCCGGGAGCGCGCATAAGACACGTTTTTCGAACGCGAACGCGAACACTATTCCCATTGGCCGGAACAACTACATGGTACATTATTGATAGTTAACAACCAGGCATGAAGAGTAGGTCTGCACAGAAAATGTAATCAGGCTCGAGACAAACGAGCGTATGTGTGCACGTGTTCGATAACAGCTCTGAACAGTAATTTAGGCGATCATTTCACAGTCAGTGCGATTTATTAGGGTGCTTGGAAAACTGGTTGGGTTAGCTTCCTAGACTTATCATACTTATGCGAAGCTAATACAGAAATCCAAGTAAATAGTGGATAAGAACCGGACGTGGTAAATTGGAAACCACCAAATATCGAAATCATGCAACCTAAACTGGACTACATGTCAGAAACTGACCCTCGCGAGAGAGATACTTACCAATCACAACAACTGAAAAATTCCAAAGCAGTCGGAGTGTTATGGGGAGTTTTTACTGTCTGCTTCGCCATCATCAACGTTGTCATCTTCGTCCAGCCACACTGGCTAGGGGACACTCAACAAAGTAAGGGCACTGGTCATTTTGGCCTGTGGCAAGCATGCCGTCTGGTGCAAGATGGTCAGGACGTTTTCTGCGAAGGCCGATTGGACGACTTTAACACCATAACATCTTCTGCCTTCAGGGCTGCCACAGTGTTCGTTGGTCTGTCTGTCATCACGATTATGTTATGCATCAGCTGTATGTTGCTCTTCTTTTTCTTCAATTCTTCAACCATTTTCCACGTCTGCGGTTGGATGCAGCTGTTTTGTTGTGAGTTCATGCATCTTATTTCTATAATTTTGATTATAGCTTCTCATCAGGTGCATCTTCTATTTTTATATATTAATATTTAGAATTAAAATCTGGATCATTTCTAGCTTTCGTGAACACAAACTTTACAGGAAATACAGTCATTAGGACTAACCCATATATTTTATGTTGGCCAAACCTCATAAGAGATTACTGGGTTTACTGCCATGAATATCGTTAACCGAGAGGGTACCCAACTGATGAAACAATGCATCCTAATCATGATAAGTAAAATGTAAGAAAAACTTAGAGCGACAACTAAATATCATCCTGGCCATCAGTGTATCTAATTGAATATACCTACGTTGATATACTACTATGTTTCTCAATATCAGTATTTAATAATAACAACTTCTGATCAGAGTAAGGGTATATTCAATTAGATACACTGATGGCCAGGATGATATTTAGTTGTCGCTCGAAGTGCGTAGCTTACTCTGATCAGAAGTTGTTATTATTAAATACTGATATTGAGAAACATAGTAGTATATCAGTATATTCAATTAGATACACTGATGGCCAGGATGATATTCAGTTGTCGCTCTAAGTACATGGCTTACTCTGATCAGAAGTTGTTATTATTAAATACTGATATTGAGAAACATAGTAGTATATCAGTATATTCAATTAGATACACTGATGGCCAGGATGATATTTAGTTGTCGCTCTAAGTACGTAGCTTACTCTGATCAGAAGTTGTTATTATTAAATACTGATATTGAGAAACATAGTAGTCGAGATTTGACCCTTAAAAGTGACAAAGGTTTTGATTTATTTGAAATACGACAGTTCATCGAAACCTGTACTTTTTGAAGTTGTTCTACTGTTCTATTTCCACACTTCGAGTCACTATACTGGAAGTCAATTTATGAATCAGGAATCTTTAATCAGGAACAGATTTATGCAAAACGTTCTTTAAATACGTGTACCACCATTTCTACATGTGGGACCATTTCATTGAACCAGTGTTTTTTTTTATTAGTTATGTTTAGTACGTTAAAGTAAACATAGTGGCGTTTGTGGATTACCTTATCATTATTGCTTAGTAGTAGGGATCGCCAAAGTTTCCAAATAATTCACGCGCCGCCCACTGAATTCCAAAGCGAAAAACTGACCATTCAAAGTATTGATAACGTTATATTATAAGCATGTATACTAATAATACGCTGAAAATGTCGTTAACATTTCCGGTATAACAATTCCAAAAATTCTAAAATAGCAGCTTTTTCGTCTACTACCTACCTGATCACATCAGCGGGGCTAGCCTCTAGACGGCTCGGACTATTGCTACAAGATTTCTCCAGTTTACTTGATTTGTCTGTAGGTATCCGCTTTTGATATTCTGATAAATACATACAGATGTTTTATAAATGGTAAACATATCATGGACGTACTTAAATATCTTTTCAACCCAATTCAAACAAACAGATGGCGCTACATATCAACGGATAGACAGGCTACAGTTTCTAAAGGTAAAGTATATACTTTATACAGGTATAACATAAATAGTAAAGAAATAAGAGTATTAAAAAGTTATAAATTTTAAAATGAAGTAGGGATCCTGCTATAAAAATAATGAAACAAGAATTAAAACCACAATCACATAATTTATAAATGTAATCCCTACTTTGGCAACTTTACAAACTTATCTGCAGGCCAAAGTAAGGATTACATTTTATAACTTTGTGACTGTGGTTTTTAATTCTACTAAAAGTTATAGCTATCAGAGTTATGACTATACGAAAAGGTTAAAGATGTTGTGTCCATTCCATGGACATATAAATACTGAACAAATAAAATATGGGAGAAAAATTATAATTTGAACGGAAAGTAGGAATTGAAAATCGTTTAAAAATCTGTCCAATTAATATTACCTTACTTGTTTGTGTCCTTTTTATTTTGTTTTTGATAATTCTTATGGCAATTCTACAAATAACCAACGATCCCTATTTTCTGTTAAAATTTTAATTTTTTTTTCCATACTGATAATTATACGGATCTGAGGAGGACGGTTAGGTATAATGTAAAACAACAGCTAAATATGGTTACGAAAACGCGATGTTCAATGTTTTCGTCGAAATACTGACATTTTGGTAATTTTACAAAACCATATAATTTAGTTGTTTATCAGCTTGTAAATAGTTTTAAAAATAAGCAGTTAAACAACATTTTGTTGGATATTTTCTTATCTGTGACACTTTATTTCCACAAAGGTTTGTTTTAACTTCTATTAACTTTGTAATAAAGATTTTCTGATGTTATAGCCGCAAAATGTTGTTGTTTGTTTCACCTTGAATAACGGTTAAACGTTTTGTTTTGGGGAGCTGTTCAAGATATGATGGTTGCATGCGGCATATTTACTTAAGACCATGGTAAAACTGATAGCACGTGACTTGTTTGTGAGCTATTACTTCGAGTCAGTTTGCTTTTATCCGACACACCTGAAGTATTCCAGCAGCGAGTTCTTTCATCGCTAGGCCAACTGTTGGATCATCATCTAAGATGAGTGTTTATAGGCTAAGCATGATCGAGCAAACCTCTTTTTGTTATGTTATTTTAAATGAAACTTCCGTTTCGTAAAGTGGTTGAACAAGGAGGGGGAGGACAGCTCGTTTGTTTGGTTATTGAATTTCGCGCAAAGCTACTCCAGAGAGATCTGAGCTAGCTGCCCTTAATCTTGAAGTGTTATTATTGGTTATTTTTTCAACAAAGCCACGTTAGGTTATCTGCTGTCTCCACCGTGGGGAGTCGAATCCCGGATTTTAACGATGTAAGTCCATAAACTTACAGCTGTTCCACCGGAGGACTAATTTTGAAGTGATGAACAAGAGGGAAGGCAGCTAGTAAACACCATCAACAGCCAACTCTTGGTGTCTTCACCAATGAATAGTGGCATTGACTGTTCATATTATAACGCCCTCACAGCTCAAAGGGCAAGTATGTTCGGTGACGGAGTTCCATCCCGTGACCCGAAGATGAAGACAGCTCGAAAGATTAAGGGATAAAGTTTCAGATTAGGAAGAGATGATTGGACTTTAAGTTAGATTTTTTAAATCTTAAAATATACAGTTTTTAATTTATGATTTGTTTGCTTTCTTCGGTATAATAATTATTTCATTTCTAAAAATTCACAGGCTATGCGACCTCAGCTAACCCTCTTCTAGTCGTTAGTGGACATACAAATACAAACACATTTTTCTATCTGCATATAACAGAAAATTACACAAAAGTAGGTCAAGGAAGGTGGGAACACAAAACAATCATATTATCCACTAGGTGGCGTAAAACTGAATAAAGCTTAATGTCAGGTGTGTGTGTGTTTTAAGGCTGAAAAAGTCATCAAAGAATGAATAGAATGGGGCGTTCCTAAAGAACCCGTTTTAAAACACACATGGTGCTTTGTTTTATCATGCATTCTTCTGTTTCGAGATTCAACCCAACACAGTGGTTGCTTTACGTTCCATATTACTTGTACTTTAATGGAATTTCGGGAGATGAAAAAAATCCAACCTTTAAACGCACAGACAAAGGAATTCGAGAGAAAAAACAAAACCTTTAAATCTCAACCTACAGAGTAGTAAGGGAGGACCTAAGTTTTTGTTGCTTTTTTCAGCATGTCTTGTTGTACATTTGTTTCTTCGTTGTTTTGGACACCTAACATTAACCTCCAGAACTACAGAAGAAATTTCAAATTAACTTAGGCAAAGAGAATCCCGTTTTGATAATTTTTCTGTAAATTCACAGTCTAAATCTTCCATATTCGTAATGTTTTCACATTATTATTATTATTTCTTTAAATGCATCTAAAAGTTTTCTCATCTTAAACCATTATTTTATAAAACTAAATATGCGGTGTGTCCGCTTGTATCTGGCGAGCCGCTGGGCCGACTGTCACCAAACTTGGCATGTACTCTTACGGTCCCACGAAGACTAATAGAGGCTGGGCAATGTTTGGACTTTTGTAACCCCTATGTCATCTCAGTTCGTTGAATGAGTACTTGACTAAAGAAACTGGTGAGTAAAAGAGTACATCTCAAGAAGTCAAATTAATTCTAAATCAAGTTAGTCGTATGGCTAGTATATAAAATTTACTGTAATGCCAAGATCAGAAGCAGACCAAGGAACATGAAGATGGTAAACCAGTTTCAAGATCACATTACATGTTAATAATGGCTCATGCCAATCTCTCTTGAAATATTTCGAACTTTCTTCGGGACTGCATAACTTTTATGCTGGTTCAGTTTGACTGTAAACTGGTTG